AGAATACACCCAGCCGAGCACATTTTAAGAATATTTGCATATTCGCGTATTCTGGTGTATTCTCGCCTATTCTCAGTGAGAATACACCAAGCCCAGCACATTTTGAAGATATTTATATATTTGCGTATTCTCGTGTATTATTGTGTATGGTCAGTGAGAATACACGAAGCCCAGCACATTTCGAAGGTATTTATGTATTTGCGTATTTTGGTGTATTCTCGTGTATTGTCAGTGAGAATACAACCAGCCGAGCACATTTCGAAGATATTTGCATGTTTGCGTATTCTGGTTTATTCTCGTGTATTGTCAGTGAGAATACACCAAGCCCGGCAGATTTCGAAGATATTTATATATTTGCGTATTCTGGTGTATTCTCGTGTATTCTCAGTGAGAATAAACCCAGCCCAGCACATTTTGAAGATATTTATGTATTTGCGTATTCTGGTGTATTCTCGTGTATTGTCAGTGAGAATACACGAAGCCCAGCACATTTTATAGAAATGTATATAGTCGCGTATTCTGGTGTACTCTCGTGTATTGTCAGCGAGAATACACCAAGCCCAGCACATTTTGAAGATATTTGCATATTTGCGTATTCTCGTGTATTTTCGTGTAGCGTCAGTGTGAATACACTAGGCCCAGCACATTTTATAGAAATGTATATAGTTGCGTGTTCTGGTGTATTCTCAGCGGAAATTTAGCAGGCCCAGCACATTTTGAAGATATTTATATATGTGCGCATTCTGGTGTACTCATTTGTATTGTCAGCGAGAATAGACCAAGCCCGGCACATTCTGAAGGTATTTATATATTTGCATATTCTCGTATAATCTCGCCTATTCTCAGTGAGAATAGACCCAGCCCAGCACATTTTGAATATATTTATATACTTGCGCATTCTCGTATATTATTGTGTATGGTCAGCGTGAATACACGAAGCCCAGCACATTTCGAAGATATTTATATATTTGCGTATTCTGGTGTATTCTCGTGTATTGTCAGTGAGAATACCCCAGGCCCAGCACATTTTTAGATATTTATATATTTGCGTATTCTGGTGTATTCTCGTGTATGGTCAGTGAGAATACACCCAGCCCAGCACATTTTGACGATATTTGCATATTTGCGTATTCTGGTGTATTCTCGTGTATTGTCAGTGAGAATACACCAAGCCCGGCACATTTCGAAGGTATTTATACATTTGCGTATTCAGGTGTGTTCTCATGTATTGTCAGTGAGAATACACCAAGCCCAGCACATTTTGAAGATATTTATATATTTGCGTATTCAGGTGTGTTCTCATGTATTGTCAGTGAGAATACACCAGGCCCAGCACGGTTTTTTGGAAATGTATGCAGCTGCGTATTCTGGTGTACTCTGGTGTATTGTCAGGGAGAATACACGAGAATACACGAGAATACGCAAATATATAAATATCTTCAAAATGTGCTGGGCTTGGTGTATTCTCACTGACAATACACGAGAATACACCAGAATACGCAAATATATAAATATCTTCAAAATGTGATCGGCTGGGTGTATTCTCACTGACAATACACTAGAATACACCAAAATACGCAAATGTATAAATATCTTCGAAATGTGCTGGGCTTGGTGTATTCTCACTGACAATACAGGAGAATATACGAGAATACGCAAATATGTAAATATCTTCCATAGAAAAAGGCTTAGGCCGAAACAGCTGTCTTTCTTATTTTTTGTTTTATGCGTTATTTATTATCATTAACAGTCATCATTATCACCTCGTATTGTTTCCCTCTTTTTTCGTTTCTATTCTGTATTTTTATTATTTCCGTTTACTTTTTTTATTTTTTATTTTTATTTTTATTTTATTTTTTACAGTAATAAGTTTTTAGATTAAAAATTACGTGATTAATCAATATTCTCACTGACAATACACGAGATTACACCAGATTACGCAAGTATATAAATATCTTCAAAATGTGCTGGGCTGGGTGTATTCTCACTGACAATACACGAGAATACACCAGAATGCGCAAATATATAAATATCTTCAAAATGTGCTGGGCTGGGTGTATTCTCACTGACAATACACGAGAACACACGAGAATACGCAAATATATAAATATCTTCAAAATGTGCTGGGCTTGGTGTATTCTCACTGACAATACACGAGAATACACCAGAAGACGCAAATATATAAATATCTTCAAAATGTGCTGGGCTGGGTGTATTCTCACTGACTATTCAGTAGAATACACGAGAATACGCAAATATATAAATATCTTCAAAATGTGCGGGGCTGGGTGTATTCTCACTGACAATACACGAGAATACACCAGAATACGCAAGTATATAAATTTCTATAGAATGTGCTGGGCTTGGTGTATTCTCACTGAGAATACACGAGAATACACCAGAATGCGCAAATACATAAATTTTTATAAAATATGCTGGGCTTGGTGTATTCTCAGTGACAATACACCATGCCCGGCAAACCCAGCAAATAGTGTCTTTTTGAGGATACACTGCGTAGTGATATCCTGGCATCTCTGGGGCCACCTGCAGTACGAAGAAAATAGTGTATTTATAACTACGCGGAAATTATTAATTTTGCTATTTGTTGTAGATCAATTGGAAGCAGTTGTCGTTGATTGCTCGTTTTTAGTGTCTTGTATTTTGTGTTAAGGGATGAAGCCGTCATTTGCCTGTCAGCAGACGCTTTGAAAACCCGACTTTAAAATTAAGACCAGCTTTTGTGTAAATTTTGTTTCATTGCTGTGAAAAATCATTTTTTCTAAATCAGAGGGGAAGAAGTTGGCATTCTTCTCGTAATTCTCAATCCCCTTGACTGTAAAGAAAAGGGCCTTATCGATTTAAAATGCTGGTATGTTTGTACGTCCGCAGATTAGATACTAGCGATACACAAACTAGTTGAGCAAAACTTGATTGGATGAAACTGACATGGAGTTATTAGTCGACTGCGGTGAACCAGAAAACGAGTATGAGCGACCTCTGCGGTGTATCCTGTTGGTCCAAAACATCATGTCCACTTGAATGGATGAAAATGATATGGAGTAGGTGGTTGAGTATGGGTAATCAGAAAATGAGACTAATTTTCCAGTCTAATTTTTTTAGAGCGTGAGTGTTTTAGAATGGAGACCAGGAAAGTACGTATAAGTGACTAGGGTGGATTCTGTTTGTCGAAAACTTTATCTCAATTTCATTGGATGAAAATGGTGTTTAACGGGTATGCAAGTATAGGAAATCAGAAACTGAGCGTGAAAGACCTCTATGGTCGATTCTGTTAGTCGAAACTGTCACTTGACTTCGCTAGATGAGAATGATGCGCAAGAGGTATTCGACTAAGGGAGTCGGAAAATGACTTTGAGCGGTCTCTAGGATGGATTATATTAGTCGAAACTTCGTCTGAAATACCGAGCATTCTGTTTTAACTACGAAAGAGAAAATATTCAGAAAGATGGCCGAAATATCTACTGATACAGGGAAAGAAAAGCTAAGCAAACCTTTTCCTTTAGTTCGGAGCTGGATGTCGCTAGAAATCAGCCACGTTTGATAACACCAAAGAGTCATCTAGGGGAGCACAAAACTTACAAAATATAGGTGTCTATCATGGCGAATCGGTTAGTAATGCCTGCAGGGCCCTTGGCATCTTCAGAGGGTTTCCAAAATACGCTTTACTTTGATATTAGATGGTACGCTATGAGAGAAGTTCATAATATTTGTCAGGTACCCTGGTTGCGAACGCCGACCAAAGGAAGACGTGAGCATGGTCTTCATTTTGAAATAGTACTGGACCTCTTGGGCTCTTTGGACGGTCTCGTGAAAACCTTTTAGCATTACATTATAAACATCAGAAGATTCACCGGAAAATTCTGCATCTTCTCACATATTTTTCGAAATTTTGCAGTTAAATCTTCTAGGAAAATTTCTCTGTGCAAAAAGCTGATAAATCTAAAAAAATCTAACTTGTGAACCGATTTTTCACAGAACTTAGTTTTTTGACTATAAAAGCAGTAAAATGTTCTGAATCCAGGGTTTTAGGCTTATTATCTTACATAGAATTAAATTCTGCGTCTTTTGATATATAAACAAAGTTTCTCAATTGAAACCATTAATTAAAAAAGTAATTTAATTTGAAAAAATTGAAAAGCCGGTTGAGAACTACTTATAAGATCAGCTGACGTAGTGAAAACATTGTATAAGATTGTAAATGAGTGAGATCGATAGAGCGCCACATTTTCTATCTTTCTACCTAGAAAAATTAATTATTGAACCTCAGACAATGTGCTAAAAATCTTAAAAAATGAGGCGACAAAAGTACGTCGCAGTTCGGTAACTCAGCACTCTTCAATATTTTGAATGGTGCTCAAACGAGAAAAATGCTCTCAGAGAGTCGAATAGTAGGTTTTTTAGAGCTTGAAATTCTCTATCTTTTGGTATGTAAAGAAACTTCTAATTTGAAGAGAAAGTATGAAAGTAAGAAAAACATGCAGTAACATTTAGTCCAGTTTATTATGGCACACCCATTAGTGACTGAAGAAAAATGTTTTGTACAGACATTGCACCACGCACAGATACGATTTCATCACACTTTTCTTCAGTCTGTTTTACTCATGTGCGCATCTTTTATTCATAGTATATACGGGCTACCTGTTTCTCTGAGTTATGAGCGGACGCTTCCAGTACGCCATACTATTCTGCTTTCAATCGAACAAATACTCTCAGTTGACATTCATGCCGTTCGAGTATAGTAGTCTCCTTTGCACAAAAAAGAGTTTCATGAATTCGTACAGCTACACAAAAAGAAACAGTACATTTACCTCTATCGCTCATACACGGTTCAAGCCACTTATTCATGTTGGGTAGCCATGTGGTCTGTATTGAATACCTCTTTCGGATCAAATAGTCGAGTGATTGTTGATTTTGTTTAAAAAAACGTTGCTTCAGAGTTAGAAATATTATCCATGGCGATTTATGGTAGCTGTCCCAGAACAATTATGGAAGCGTCTCTCAAAAGATGCAATAGGAAGATGCATTAAAATCTCGAAAATTCATATCGTGAGCTGTTTTTAATGTCCAACTTAGCAATTAAAATAGATGTATGACTTCCTTGTAAACGATTAATTGCCTCGTGAAGTATCTGTCAAGAAAAAAGCACATCTAAAAAGTCCGTTTTTGGAGTCGCAAAACTATTTTGTCACAAATCTTTTCACTTTGGCTGTCCATTGTTGATGTTGCTTGGTGAATCAATCAGATACGATCGGATTCTTAAAGATGACCTTTTCCTATCGACGGGTAAATTTAGACATCAGGTTCATATGATACGTAGTTGGAGAAGTGCAGCGTATGAAAGGTCGGCAGATCGAATCTGTGAGAAGAACTTCAAAAGTTGTTCTAAACAACTGTTCTTAGTCGATCCCCTATTTTATTGCTCACAATGTGGCTGATTGCTCGGCGAACCAGCACTATTGTCTTCAATACAACAGCACCGAGATCATCTGTCTGCCTCTGACATAAGCGAACGATAATATCACTGACTGTCTCTTTGCTTCTGATGAACGAACAACAATAGGACAAAGATATACCATTGTCCTCATCGAGCACAAGTGAGAACGATTTTCTCGAAATATCTGGTTTGGGACAATGTTAAACCTGTAATTGAACTAACGGCGTATTATGATCAATTGAACGTTCAAACAAGGAAAGATCAATATCAAAATATTTTCCTAAATGATCAACGTTTGGCTATGGGTGTCAACTCCGCATGATAATAGGAAGACCGCAACCATCGCACTACTTATTTTAAATTAAGTACTATAAATATATCTCCACCTGACATTGAAAACATTTTATCGAGAATATCGTCGTCGAGAGCTACAGCTCCTGGTATATCGAATAGAGTACTGGAAGAATGTGCATCGTCACTCTGTTTTCCTTTGCCGTACTTGTTCAATATATCGTCAAAACATGGATATTTCCCTAATCATTGGAAGGAAGGGTACATTCAGGCAGTCCTTAAGTCTGGTGATCTGTTTGTAATATATGTTGTTTGGCACGTTTCCATGTAACTCTCCTCTACAAGAATCTGTAAGAACATTTGACCTGAAATGCAAACGAGGAAAACTTATGGGAGTTCAAGCATAAAAAATATTTCGCTTGGTTCGTTATACCGATGATAGATTAGGCAGCAAGAAATAGGGCCAGATTGCATTATTTGCATGTTTTTCACACCACGCGTAATTAAATTGCTATCTTCCACAATCTGTAATGAAACTCCCAAATTCTCCCAAACTGCGGTGTCCAGCGCTAAGGTTGGGTTAGTTTTGAAAGGTTCAAAAACTTACATCTTCTCATACGTTAGCTTTTGATCCATAGAACTACATTCCTTACAACTACACTACCATAGAACTACAGAGAAAAACATGCACACTGAATGTCCATTATTCTAGGTGACGGTGGGGTGTTGCATTTATGATGCGACTATTTAAAGTTCAGTTTGTCCATGGGATCCAGAAGTTCCGAAACTTGCTCCACCTGTTGACGAAGAGTTTGAAGCGGGCTGACGATCAAATTCGTCTATTCCTTGATTTGTTTCGTGCGAATGTGCCCGCAGCTCTCCTTTACGTTGGTACGCTACTTCGTGCGGGCGAACATAACCAAAGGTTCATTCAAGTAGCATACGATAGACAATCCTCAAGTTTCTGAGAAGGCGTTTGATAATGTGATACCTTAATATCGAAAGGTTTCTCTGGCAAACTGATTATAAAATTGAAAATAGCACGCGTTTCTTTATGAGACGTGCTACAAAAATAATACATCTCCATCATCTTGCTCATGCCTAAAAAGATTAGATATGCACATCGGTTAAAAACTGGTTTTAGGGCATACAGAAAGACTGCTATATCTTAAGATGATCATATTCTTGTTCAAAGCATATTTAAATTTCTTTTAACAACTGAACGTTGTAGAGAGAACATTTCTCTACAAAACGAGATTACGACAACTGTTAGCGAACTGTTAGCGCAACTGTTTTTAGCGATTATTCGTAATCAGATTATAGCAATTGTACCAGCACCAGTTTTTAACTGGTGAAACTGATGTATACCTAAAAAAGATAAGAAGAGATAAGTCTCAAAGCAAAAACGTTGAATCGATTTTTTCGCTTTTCCAGCAGTCGATTGTGAAAACTCGATAAATTTTCGAAGTGATCAGATTACGTCTGATTTTTATAGAGAAGATTTCTTTTCATTCATGGGTTTGTCGCCGTCGGCCAATTCAACTATAGACATTCGTCCATTGGCGAATGTCCACGAAAATTGATGAATGTCTACTTGCAACATTCACCAATGGGCGAATGTCGCGTGAACATTCGCCGAAATAAGCTCATATTCAGAGCAGAAAAATGCGCATATACAC